GAAATATTCCACAGAGCAATGGAACAGATCATTGAGGGCTTAGAGGGAGTTCGAGTCTACATAGATGACATAATTGTATGGGGCTCAACTCTCCAGGAGCACAATCAAAGACTATACAAAGTGATGGAACGCATTCAAAAACATGGCCTAAAACTCAACAGAGCCAAGTGTGAATTTGCAGTGCAGGAGATTCTTTTTCTGGGAGACAAACTCACAGCCAAAGGTGTTAAACCAGATCAAGACAAAATAAAAGCGATACGGAACATGCCAAGACCAACAGACAAGACAGGCGTTTTGCGCATTATGGGAATGGTCAACTTCATAGGCAAATTCATTCCTAATCTCACAGCAAAGACATCCTGCATCCGTGAGCTCTTGCACAATGACTGTGACTTTAAGTGGTCTACCAGACATGAGCAAGAATGGCAAAGACTTAAACAGACTCTTACTACAGCACCAGTCTTAGCCTACTATGACCACACCAAAAAAGCTCAAAGTATCAACTGACGCATCCAAAGATGGAATTGGAGCGGTACTTTTGCAAGCTGAGGATCAACACTGGAAACCAGTAGCCTATGCGTCAAGGGCCATGACAAAAGCAGAGAGTAAGTACGCTCAAATTGAAAAGGAGTGTTTGGGTTTGGCCTACGGACTGGAACGGTTTCACAGCTACGTTTATGGACTACCATCTTTCACGGTGGAAACAGATCACCGCCCTTTGGTCTCCATCATTAAGAAAAACCTAAATGAAATGTCACCGAGGATCCAGCGTTTAATGATGAAAATGCAAAGATATGATTTTGAACTGATCTATACACCTGGGAAACACCTGGTGCTTGCGCAGACGCCCTGTCCAGAGCACCTGCTGAAAACAGTGTGAGTACCACAGATGAGGACATTGAAAGCCACATTAACTTTGTGTCAAGTGCACTGCCTATATCTGACGCAAAATCACGACAAATAGCTGAAGCAACATCACAGGACACAGAACTGCAGCGTGTCATTCAGAACATGGACGAAGGATGGCCTGCTGGTTCTTGTCCCCACTTCTACCATGTCCGAGGAGAATTGAGCTTTGTTGATGGACTCTTACTAAAGAAAGAACGGATAGTTATCCCACAAGTCTTGAGGCCAGATGTTTTGAACAGGATACATGAAGGACATCTTGGCATTGAAAAATGTAAAAGGAGGGCGAGAGAGTCAGTGTACTGGCCTGGATTAAACAAAGACATTGAGACTCTGGTGAGTAAATGTGAAACTTGCCAAAAACACAGGAGCAGGCAGAGCAAAGAGCCAATGGTGATACCGGAACAGCACACATCACCTTGGCACAAAGTTGGAATGGACCTGTTCCACCTTAAAGGCAAAGACTATCTTGTAGTCATAGACTATTTCTCCAACTTTCCTGAAATGGCACTACTTACAAATACATCATCAGCATGCGTGATCACTCACACCAAGTCGATATTTGCCAGACATGGCATCCCGCAAATCGTAGTGAGTGATAATGGCCCATGTTTCAGCAGCAGGGAATGGCAGAAGTTTGCAGAGCAGTACGAGTTCCGCCATGTCACCTCAAGTCCACATTATGCACAGTCAAATGGACAAGCTGAGAAAGGTGTCCACATTCTGAAACAGCTGCTCAAGAAAGCAACGGATAGTAACTCTGACCCTTACCTGGCACTTCTCAGTTATCGTGCATCTCCACTTGAGTGCGGACTGTCACCTGCAGAACTATTAATGAACAGAAAATTGCGCACAACGCTTCCTAGCTACACAAGGGTTATTTCACAAAGGAAACATGCAAAACTGAACAACAAACTCAAACAGAAAAAGAAACAAAAGGCATTTTATGACATTTCATCCAAACCACTCTCTTCTCTTGCGAGGAACGACACAGTCAGGATCGAGGATGCTGATGGCTGGAACTCAAGAGGAATTGTGTTACAGGAGGTGGCTCCACGATCATTCACAGTGAGAACTGAGGATGGACAGGTGCTCCGGCGTAATCGCCGCAGTCTCCTTAAGACTCCACCAACAGCCAGTGAGCCCAGTGATACTCCCCCAGATCCACCTTCTGCACCTCCTATGAACTGTAATGCGAACTCTATACCAGATAAACAAGAACTGAGAAGGTCGACACGGGAAGTAAAGAAACCAGACAGACTGAACTTATAAGGTTGAAAAGAAATGTTTAAAAAAAAAAAAAAAAAAGAAAAGGTATTTGTTCTAAGGTACTTTCATTTTATTTGAGCATTGTTGCTCCATACATTTTGCTAATGGTTCATTATTATTAGCTATTTGGTAACGTTAAAAAATAAAAAAAAAAGAAGTATTTTGTCATTTTAATACTACTGTGTATTGTTCATCTTCAAAGAAAGGGGGATGTTATGATCAGTAGCTATAATGGCGTGTGCCACACGGGGGCGCCGCAGTGTTATATGTATGTGTTGTTAACAGAAGTGGTAGCACTTGTACATGAGAGTTCACCGCCATTACGGAGTATTAAAAAGAAGGAATTATTGAACACAAAGCACGCCTCGTTCTTCAGCAATAACATGAACATGACAGTTTCTAGAGCTAAGTAAAATTGTAAGTGTTCTCCAAGTGCTACTTTAAGAGTTGTTAAAGTTGTTTATGTTGTGTCTTAAGGTTAAAAGACATTATTGAGTGTTGTTAGTTATATATGTTGTGTCTTAAGGTTAAAAGACATTATTGAGTGTTGTTAGTTATATATGTTGTGTCTTTAAGGTTAAGAGACATTATTGAGTGTTGTTAATTATATTTAATGTGTCATTTAAGGTCAGATGACAGCTTTTGAGTGTTGTTAATTATATCTATTGTGTCATTTAAGGTCAAGTGACAGCTTTTGAGTGTTGCCGGAGTTATCTGCTTTGTGGTTTTAAAGTTAAAGTGATAGTTTGAGTGTTATTAAAGTGATTTAAGAATAGCAGTGGGGGTTAGGCTGCGTAGTCTAGTCTCCGGCTCTTTAATACTCCGTTACCGACATGAGTTTTTAAATTTTTTGTCAACAACTTGAGTGTTAACTCTTTCCTACATTCTAATACCTTACTTATTTCAATAGTCCCTCTAGTTTCTGAATAAGAGCTATTTGAATGTAAAAAATCTGCCCGTTTCCTTCCGTTACCACTTGACCGGATCCACAACAACAAGCACTGGTACAAGCTGGAATTTGCAGACTGTTGATGTAAACTGTTATCAAAATGACAATAAGAACAACTTGCAATATTAAAGATGCACTTTGTTACTTTTTGGTTGGTCTGTAACCTGTTTGTTTCTATGGAGATGTCATTGCTCTGCCTGGAATGTTCCACAGTATGACATTAAACAGCTCTTCTTTACATTTACTCAATTACAGGTGGTTTATAGCTCCAAGAAAAACAGGCACACACCAATGGAGTTCTTCCTGTGTTACCACTGTGCTTTTAAAACTCCATACATCTTCACTAAAATCATTTGGATAATTTCAGCCCTGGAATTGACCATCTCTACTGAACAACTTGGGACTTGACTCGGACTTGAGGTCAAATCCTTGAGACTTGCAAAACAATGACTTGGTCCCACCTCTGACGTAGACAGACTAATAATAAATGGCTACTCAAACGTGTGAATGAAACAAAGCTCAACACCGGGTTGAGGTAACAACATTATAACATGACTTAAAGATCATTTATCTTACAACACATCATAGATTATCCAGAGGGGTTTAGTGTCTACACGAGAACCTAAAAATCACAGTTGCATCCTGCTGTAGACCCACTGATCCACATTATTCAGGAAGTTCAATACAAACCTGCTGAAACTTGAGGGAAGAGAAATTTGAAATGAAAATGATCAGCACGTCCCAAAACCACAGAGAGGTGTGTTTCTCCATCAAATATTAATCCTCGTGAATATTGTATTTTGAACAGCAAAAGCAGGTTATGGATCTAATTCACGCTCACTGCTGTATCATTAAACAGATCCACTGACAGACTGCATCAACTGCCGGAAAAATTGGCCTAAAGCTTTTTACATTTATCCATCACGTGTATATAGCTGTTAAGTATGATGCCAGTTGGACCCCGAAGTGAAAAGTATAATATTGGCGAGGAGAAAATTCAGTTTGTCGACTGGACAAAAGTTAGTTTGGTTGAAGACGTTTCGCAGCTCATCCAAGCTGCTTCTTCAGTTCCGGTCAGACGCTGATGGACACTTCCTTATATCTGCAGGGAGGAGCTAACTAACTGAAACCAACACACCTACTTGTTTACAGTTTCTGTTAGTTAGTTCGGCCTATTGACCTGTACAGGGTGTGGGATCTAATTAGCATAACAATTCATGGCCATAATGGAGCTTCCACACCTCTGGACCGGACCTGGCTACACCTGTTGTTCTCTTGTTTGTTTTGATTTAGGTTTGAGGATGGAGTTGTAAATAGGAGATAGATGGTCTCTATTTCTGTTTAAAGAAGGATTCTCTTTCTTAACAAAAATGGCTTCTTTCACTCCCCTCTCAAACCAATTCTTTTCTCTGGCTAAAATCTTTACCTCGCTGTGATCAAAGGAGTGGCCCATGGCTTTTAGGTGGAGATGTAGCAGACTGAGGTCCTGTGTTGCTCTCTCATCTGTGTTGGTACAGCCTCTTGTGAAGTAGCTATTTAGTTTCTCCAGTGTAGCGCTCACCGCAGTCTTCACTACACTGAATGGAGTAGACCACATTGCTTTGTTTGTGGCTCTGTGTTTTGTCCTTTGGGTGGACCAGTCTCTGTCTTAGAGTGTTTGTAGGTTTGAAATAGACCGGGATCTCATGTTGTCTGAAAGATGCTCTGTAATTTTTCAGAAACACCAGCCATGTAAGGAATAGTTACCCCCTTTCTCCTGGGTTCTGATTCTCTGTTGTCCTGTTTCTTAGTTCTCTTGGTTTTGTTGAAGGCTCATTTTGGATATCCGCAAACAGAGAGGGCTTTCAGTAAGCAGGGCTTTTGTAACGCGGGTGACAAAACCGCCTTAGCAACAAACTCTCTTGCCTCGCTCCTGCTCTCTGGTTGCGTCCCTTTGCGTGCGTCCGATGATGTGACCGCGGTCGCCCAATTAGGAGCGTATATTAGCGCGAAACCCGGAAGCGCGGCAGACGCGAGAGAGATAAACGAGAGCGCGTGCTATAGGTATGTTTTTAAGCCTCAATTTGCCTTAATACGCGATGACAAGTTACTAAACTCACCGTTTTAAATGTTAACTTGTAGGAGCCAAATACCATTGCCCTTTGAGTGCCCAAGCGAGCCGTATAGTGACGATCGCACGGAATTGGTAAGCCACGCCGAGTCTCCCCATTTGTTGGTACGGTTAGCTTATCTTAGCCGCCTCCTATTGTTTCTATGGGTCCGGCTAGCCTTGTTTATGCCAAATTTCTAATCATTTCTGTTGCACCATTGTGGTCCAATTTGATATGTAATCACCATCAAATGATTACTTTTATTGTCTTTTAGTGTCCACTTGTTTACTTTGCACTTTGTAGCGTTTTTTAGCTTAACATTGTGCCTTAAATTATTGAACTGCCTTTAGCACTTAGCACTTTAAATCCAAAGCTGCTATGCTATTTGAATGTATGTTATTTTCATGCACTTTAATTCAAAAAGGATTTTTAATTAATCATTTTAATTATTTTGATTAATTAATCAACAGTCTAGTATATTGTACAATATTTGAATATTAATTAGTATTTATATATATTTTATAATACCACTAGTGTTATTTAATTATATTTATACATGAATTTCTGCACACTGATTTTACTTTGGTCCTGTTGTTTACACAGGCCAGGTTCAGATGGCGAGCTTTAAGCTCAGGTTCTGATCTGGAACCCTGACACTCAACTAACTCCTGCCAGGAACCCCGACACCTCCACTTCCTCTGTCCGGGCTGGTAGGAGGCTCTTGTAGCCAGCGTTAAAAACTCTCACACCTTCCACGCATTGGCTCTACGACCAACCTCAATTATCACCACTCACCGGCACTCCTCACGAACACTTATAACTCTGAACTCCCGCTCTGGTCGTACGTTCCATATCTCCAACTATGCGTGGCAAACTGTGACTGTTTGACCTATGCAATCGGATCAATCTGTTTTTTGGACTCTCAATCCCGATTGTTCTTTGTATTAACTACCTCACTAGATTATTGTGAAGTTTGGGTTTTTACTGAATGGCCATTCAAGCATTCATTAATATATTGTCTTTTGTTTTGTCTTAATACATGGTACCAGCAAATCCAATTCAGTCTCTGTCTCCTCTCTCCCTGAGCCGCACCTTATCTTCTGGTCACTAGCCCATAACTATTGCACTGCGTCATATTAACTAGTAATTACTTTCTTACTACATAGTCACCGCTACTACTATTCTACGTGTAGCAAAGTGTATTTGCTACACTTTATTGCGGTAATATTGTTAAAGCAGAACTAAGGTAACATTTTCTCCTTAATTAATGTAGTCAGAGATCACGTCAGGGCTAAATTTCCAAATTGCACTTGTTTTTGCTCAGTGAAAACACAAGTTGTACACACCCTGCAGCAGATGAGACATGAGCAGCTCAAATCAAAGTTTTTATACAAATATGTGTCAGTAATGGTTCAGCTTCATCACTACACTGAAAAACGGAGCAAGCTAATAACAGCATCCACCAAGATAACTGCGTACTAAAGTTAACAATTACTCAAGTATCATAACTATAACAATGATACGAGCAATGCACATGAAATGTATGTGTTCAGTAACAATATCTGCGTCACTCCTTCTCTTCCCTTGAGCTCTGTTATTCCTCAAACTTCTTCCCCACATTGACTCCTGTGAGCTCAGGCTCTGTCCCATTCACGTTTTCTTTTCCTTCCTCCTCAGACAAAAGCTTCCGCTGTCTCTTAGCTGGTTGTGCCATGGCTGACACCTCACAAATAAACACTAGATATTTATTTTTTCAGTGCACTGCGGATAGCGCCAGTAAGGGGTGTGTCACAACTCGGTTACCTGTGTGTATCAAGCCCCGGGGTTCCAAAATGACCGCCCATTCAAGTTAATGGACCGAGCTCAGTGGCGCATGATTCCAGTTAGCCTAGCCCGGCTAGGTACTTCCGGTGGCTGTGGGCCGACCGAGCGTGCGCAGTGGTGCCCTTTTCTCCCATGGACACACCAGAACGCACGCACGGAGCGCGTGCTCGTGTATCACGTGATCGCTAAGACAACTGAAGGATTTTGAGCTGAGAAAAAGTTTATGATCTAAAAATAAGTAAAAAATGCCAGAAAAATCAGATTTTTTTTTGAAAGTTGTAGTTGCCCTGTCAGCCGAACACAAGCAGTTTGTAATTACATTGTGCTCTATGAGAAAAATCTCCTCTAGGCTCATGGGATTTTTTCCGCTGTAGTTCCAGTGAGTGACCACTAGTCAACTCGAGGCAGCTACAAGCAGCAAAACCCTATCCACTTATTTTAATAGATCCATGGTGTGTATGTTGAAGTGCCGTAAAGCAGTTTGACTCTCGCGTGAACGAGAACAGAGCCCTGAGAGCTGCACCGCGTCGGTGGAAACCAAGTTACATGTCTGGTTTTTCCACCCAGAGACAGCTGGGGGCGCCACTGTACCCTTCAAACACCCCAAAATGTCATACGTAACCATCAGCGGGTCTATGAGACATTAATTAAAATAAAAATGTTACTTAGTTCTGCTCGTGTGAGAATGAAACAAAACACAACTCCGGGTGTGTTTTTGACGAGGAAACAGCATTATTATGACGTAGATCAGAAAATAGAGTAATATGGGCAAAAGTATCAAAAATCAGATATTGATACCAAACCTAGTATCAAAACTAGATACTCATTTGAGCAGGTACTGATACTTAAAAAAGTCATTCAGAGGACAGAAATGACTCTTTCCTGAATAACTTTTTAATGATCTTGGGCATATACTAGTCTGAATCAGCCCATGGACCACTATAGAACCCACACGGACGACTGAGAGATTACACAGATATAAGACCACAGGGTAAAATAAAAGGACGTCAAAAACGAGTTTGAAATTTTGGTATCGTGACATTACACACAGCATTAATTCCAGTGTCTTTTGAGCCCTGAAAGAAAAATGAATTCTATTAACTGGACAAAAGTTTTTAAGAGTGAACATGCTTCGCCACACAGTAAAGTTGCTTCTTCAGATCTGTCAGGGCGCTGGTGAGTTCTGTCCATAGACTAGACTGTATAAAGAAGTGGACTAAAGGAACCGCACATAGCGTTTGGCTCCAGTCAAATGAAGCTCACTGAGTCCTGCAGTTATACTGGCGAATTTAGAGTCGAGTTCCATATAGGCTCTATTCATGCTTAAGTCACAAACCAGGAAGATGTTTGGAAACATGAGATGACAACTTCTGGTGTACTTCCCGACATTGGGCTCGCCGACCAACTGTGATAAAACCCATTGATCATCTTGAATTTGGCGCCCTCATCTCTTCTACTGTAATCATATGTACTCAGTGTGCTCAGAGTTGTGTGTCAGTGGAGAAATGATGAAAACTGAGGTATGGTTGTAATTGTTGATTAGCTGAACATAATGGAACTTTACAATGACATGAAGATGAAGAAAACTGGGCCATTTGAACCTTTTTTCCTAGATTTTGTCAAACTTACTAGCGTGAACAGAGCCCGCTGGAAGTTGTAATCGTGTCATCCAAACATCTCCTGGTTTGTGTAAGCGTGAATAGAGCCTATTAGGAATAGGAATTTAATTACGGACAAAATAGTGGAAAAAAAAAACAATGGAGATCATGTAGAGTGGGTTAAAATTAACAGTTTAAGACCAAAATGACAAGCAGCAATTACAGAGAGAGGGGTGATGTTTTTTTTTCAATACAAGGTGATCTGGAGCCAGAGTTGATGGAGCTGGAATTGTGCTCATGCTCACTTCCTATTTCAATCAATCAAACTTCAGTTATAGAGCCACTTTATATCTGTCTGAAGTGAGAAGCTAGCTATTCTTAAACTATCGCACTAGTTGTTTAGTTAGTTCATTTGTTTTGGTTTCGGTCTGAGTAAAACAAAGTAAACAATAAGGATCTTCATCTTCAGAAAATGCTAAGAGGGGTTAGTTCAGCCATTAGGGGCAGGAACATGGGTTACATGCTGCTATTCCAAAATGCCGCTATTCCAACATGTTGCTATTTAGACATTCCACTATTTCGACATGCTGCTATTTAGACATTAACGTATAATTGTTGGAGTAGCGGCATAAACCTTATTTTTCAAGTGTCCCACTACTTTGACTATTTTTTATAGAGACACCAGGGACATTTCTTGCATAAAACTTGGACAAATCACTGGTTCTGTATAAATCTGCTGGGACAGGGGACACAGGGCTCAAACCTGGGACTGTCCTGGGTAAATAGGGACGTCTGGTCACCCTACATTAGCTAATACTTTTTCACTAACCCAAACACCTAAACAGGACAGTGAATGCTTGTATTGATCACAAGCTCCTGAAAATGTGCTGTTTAAATCCATTTTGTATTTTGTCTTGAGTTTTTGAGTATTTTATGGTAAATGATGAACATTCCGTCAATACACATACATGTAGAACACCCTCAGTGTGATGCGACTGCAAAGTGTCAGGATTGCAATCCATGCAAACTCTACAGAGAAGAGCCTGGGTTGTTCAATGGACTTAATATGGAGTAAGAAAGCTGTCAAAAATATTTGTGCGCATAAAATATAAATCCGTGTGTATTTGGGAAATCCGTGCATATTTGGCTGTAGTTGCGCATAAAATAAATATTTGTAAACTCTCAAATGAGTCCAGTCGTACATAAAATATATTGTGTGTATTTTATCCATCAGAATACGAATTGAAAAATTACGACGTCATGAATTACAATCACGAAATGAAAATTTACGATTACGCTTTCATCAGTACGAGTACGAATACGAATTCACAGACGGAACTTTACTGTCAAAAATACGTCATCACTTCACAGACATTATTCATCGAGCAGAAGAAACATCGATCAAGATCAAGACTGCGCAGCTCAAGTTTGTAGCAGAGTAAAAACAGAGTAATAGCACAAGAAGCTACAACAGCGGCCAACAAGTGGGTTAATTAAAATCTATTGTAAAAATGAAGTGAATGTTTTAATCTAAACATACAGAGAACCTAATATTTGCTAATTAGCCCTGGGATAACGTTACGTCGGATGTTAGCCAACTGGCTCCACTATGTTATCTAACATATAGGTGCAATTTCCCGTTCAAAGGAAGTGTTTCTACACAATATTATACAGCAGTGTTCGGTTCCCGAATTCAAGACATTTTTACAATAGATTTTAATTAACCCACTTGTTGGTCATTGTTGTAGCTTCTTGTGCTATTACTCTGTGTTTACCCTCTGCTACAAACTTGAGCATGCGCAGTCTTGATCTTGATCGATGTTTCTTCTGCTCGATGAATAATGTCTGAAGTGATGACGTATTTTTGGCAGTAAAGTTCCGTCTGTGAATTCGTATTCGTATTGATGAAAGCGTAATCGTACATTTTCATTTCGTGATTGTAATTCATGACGTCGTAATTTTTCAATTCGTATTCTGATGGATAAAATACACACAATATATTTTATGTACGACTGGACTCATTTGAGAGTTTACAAATATTTATTTTATGCGCAACTACAGCCAAATATGCACGGATTTCCCAAATACGCACGGATTTCTATTTTATGCGCACGAATATTTTTGACAGCTTTCTTACTCCATAACTTAACCAATAACACATACTCATTACTGTAAACAACTAAAGTGTATTAGTTTCAGTGTAGTTATCTCCTTCCTCAAAATGATGACGTGGTTTAATTCCCAAAATGCTGATTTTGCATAATATATTTCTATCTTTCTATCTATATAATCATGTTAAGTGCACATATAAAAATAACATTTATTAAAGGTGCACTGCATAAGATTTCTTTTGGTGGGTCCACCACCTCCTTGTCTTCATGGAGCTGTTCTTGCTTGGTCTAGAATGTTCCGCAGTACAGATTGAACCTATCACAAGAGAGGCAAGCAGGTTACTGCACTACGCTACATTACAATTCAGACCTGTGGAGAGTCTCCCCTGTTTACAGAAGGAATTATTTTATTTTTGGGCAAAAGAAACACTGTAATGAATACATGCTAGACAGAAATGTTTAATGTCATACCATAGAACGTTCCAGGCAAAGCAATAATATCTCTATGGAGACTCCAGCAGAAAAGTTGTGCAGTGTACCTTTAACAACAATATTGCAAAGTAAATATTTGAATTCTAAGTGGGATTAAAACAATAATGCCGTAAGAGACTGTGTGGCTGGATTTTGTCTCTCAGAAAAGAGGGAATTCATTAAAGATTTTGAATTTGTTGTGCCCGTGTCGAAGCAGGTCTTCGGGGAGGACACAGTGGGAGAAGCAGGTGGAAAACTGCCGATTGTGAAATGATTTGTTGTGTTTTGGTTCGATTTTACTGGACAAACACACGTTGTTTCCTGAATCTCGTTGCTTTTTAAATTCTCTAAACAGAACAATGTATTGGATCGATCTAACCAAGCCCAGACTGTGTAAAATATAAAATAAACATGACGTTAATCAATACAGCAGTGGACAGAACAAAAGTACTGGGAAATGGGAAGAGACTGTTGATTTTTATTATTGGTTTGTTACACTATAAATAATTTAAGTTTGTACAGCGTGAAATATAATGTTCTCGTATTTGTACCTTTTCTCAAAACGATTCAGTACACTAACTAAACTCAAATTACTCAAATTAGACAATCTGATCTTTATTTTAACACAATCTGACCACTAAGAGCCGACTTGGTTGGAACTAAAACAGGTGAGCTGATTTGTATCATCATTGTAACTGCTTAACATTCTGCTATTAGAGACACATGTACAACACTGCCAGCGTGATATATGTATATCACAAATGTTTATATAGTTATACTTACCCACAAACTCATCCATGTGTTTTTATGAGATCCGTCAAAGAATTAAAGAAACCCTGCAGAAATATACATCATTTAAATTATAAGTGTAATATTTAAAGAGCCCACATTACACTATTTTAGTATTTATGCTATAATGTTTCCTCATCAGAAACAGACCTGGAGTTTTGTTTTGTTTCATTCACACATGATTGAGTGGTATGTTTTTGATGAGGCAACATGGCTTAAAGGTGCACTGTGTAACTTTTCTGGTGGAAGGTCCGTCAAAGAATTTCCTCCATGGAGATGTTATTGCTTTGTCTGTAATGTTTCACAGTATGGCATTAAACCTTTCTATCTTCATGGAGACCAATTTACAGAATAGATAATACTTTATTTATCCTGAAGGAAATACATTTTTCATATTTTTGAGCAATAAAATCACATGTAATTGAATAAATATAAGGTAGACCTGTTTAAAGACATACTGTGGAACCTTCCAGGCAGAGCAATGACAACTCCATATAAACAAACAAAGTGTAATACAGGACCTTTAACTTGACTTTCAATATGTTTTTAAAAATATTTCCCTGATGAGCACTGATAATCTAACAGCATTATAAACCAAGAATAAACCGCTCTTTATCTAAAACAGACTTACCTCACGAAATAGAAAAATGTTCCCCAAAAAGGGCAAAGGTTTGGGATGTTTGATGCCACATTCTGACAGCACAGAAAACGGGTAAACAGAATACCTACAAAACTCAGTTACCAGAGGACATGCAGAGATTATCTTGTATTTTTTTTATTTATTTATTTTTTTTTTACATACCAATAGAGAAGACCGAGAAAAAGGAGGAACAGAGCAAAGGTCACTGGCCACTCACTGGTATCCATAAAAAATACATTTGAGAAGTCCATGAGGAATTTAACCTGAAAGTAAACAACTACTGAAACTGTAGAATAGACTTAGACAGACTTTATTGATCCACAAGGGAAATGACTTGGATACAGTAGTTCACACATGTAAAACACAAATATCTTAATATAAATACAGTTATATAAAAGAGGTTGTAATAGGCTGGAAATAGTGCAAAGATGATATAATGATTGACAGAAACACAGGCTTATCTGTGATGTGAATGTGGTTTTCTAGGAAACACTGCTGCTTAAAAAAATACCACTACATGGCATCACAAAGTAGAACTAAGCATTTTGAGTTTTGGAGATGTAGACAGACAGTGTGAATGAAACAAAACACAACTCCAGATCTGTTTTTGATGAGGAAACAACATTCTAACACGACTTAAAGTTTGTAAGAATCAGTTTTGTGTAATATACGACCTTTAATAAAACAAATAAACATAACTGCTTTATTAGAAAATGCATATAAGCATACAGCATCGCACAAATAATGACTACATACTGAACATACAGGCCTACTACTTGTGTTTTCTGTTTTATTATTGGGGGAGGGGGGTCTGTACATTTTTGGCAATGTGAAGCACTTTGTAACTGCTGTTTCGAAAAGCGCTAAATAAAATTGTATTATTATTATCATGCACTTTTATATTATTCTAAAACCTTCTTCTTATAGTCTTTATAGTCTGCTCTAATCCTGTAATGTCTTGTATTTGTTTTTTTGTTTTTGTTTTTTTGCATTAAATAGTTTTTGTTGTGTTTCAGTTCTGCTCCAGCCGTCCAGTGTGTTGACTTCAATAAAATGATTTACGGGAGCTCTCCTGTGCGCCGTCTGTCCACTGCCTCCTCTGTGTCCCACCCTCCCAATCACATCCTCACGACGGAGTGGCTCTGGTACTGGAAGGATAACGGTGGTGCGTGGGTGGAGTATGGAGAGGTCAGTCTAAACCTATTGTATTTTGGGCTGGGAGTTGCAGCAGATCTGGAATGTGAGCATCTTTTTTGTTAATGGCAGTAGATGAGGGTAATACAACTTCTAGGATGTGAGCCGCCGTTAAACTCCACAGAAGAATCAAAAGAAAATATATATCGTATTTTCCGGACTATAAGTCGCTTCGGAGTATAAGTCGCACCAGTCAAAAAATGCGCAATGAAGAAGAAAAAATATATATAAATCACACTGGACTATAAGTTGCACTTTTTGGGGAAATGTATTTTGTAAATTCAGAGATTAGGAACTGACATTTCATCTTGAAAGGCAAGTTATAGTAATAACAATAGAACAGAGAACAACAGACTGAATAGGCGTTAATATGTTAACGTAACATATTAACAGTTATTCAGATAATTGTAGCATCAGCAGACTCATCATCAGTTCCAGTTAGAATTATTCCAGCTTTTCTGAATCCAGACAAAAAAAATATCCTTTATCCAATGATTTCTTTGCATCATATGCTGATTTGTTCAGTCTCCTCACCCATTTCCCTTTTTATTATTTTCACATAGATGCCATTTTTGGGGCTCAGAGAGTTCGAAGACTTCAGCTCAAGTGGAACCTGCACAGAGACAGAAGGACATATATTATATTGAGGACTCAGCGTTAAACTATAATCAGAGTTTTTTCTCACCTTTGTTTCATCACAGGTCACAATGGTGAACCTGCGTAAAAGATTTACTAAAGCTATCTTGATCTCCAGCTGTGCCAGCCTCATGCCCACACAGTTACGAGGACCCGCGCCAAAGGGAAGGTACACAAAAGGATGACGAGTGGCCTTTGCCGCTGGAGTGAATCTGAAAAACAACCACACATCATTTAGTTCACAAAAAATAGACTGTGTTACTGGGTTTCAGATTAAATCACAGCATTCTATAGGCCAAAGTTAATAAATACAGATGGAATTATTAAAATATTGTTCAAAATTATGCAGTAATACGGTGAGTTTTTGGGTTTAGCCAATAATAGAAAATACCAAGTTCAACATTTGTGAATTTACCTTTTGGAATTTGTAATAAAATGTTATCAATAGTGAAATCTGACTCTTCACCCCCAGAATCTGAAAACCAATAAAGACGTGGACTGAGTGAGGGCAAATTTGGAGCCGACTTCCATATTAGGAATAGGAATTGATTTACAGACAAAACAGCAAAAGGATCATGTTGAGCGGGTTAATTTGAGCATTTTAAGACCAAAACACACACAAAAATATGTGTTCATGAGTAAAATTTATATCTCTTCCTCTTTCTTTAGTTTTATGGCAGGTGGCAACCAATGTTCAGGTGTATTTAAAATCTGTATCTCACCTCTCTGGGATGAACTTCTCCGGTTCGGGCCAGTGCTCTGGATCGTGGTGGAGAAAACCTATTGGAATTTCTAACCAGGCTCCTTTAGGCAGACGCTGGCCATTCACCACTGAGTCACGTTCAATTTCCCGAGCAAACCTTCAATGAAATAACTTCATCCTATTAATTTATATTGGAGGGGGGCCCATGTGAGGCTCCTGGTCCTGGGCCCCTAAATTTCTGTTGACAGGCCTGCTCAAGACTTTACTAATCCACACGGGAAATTACTTGGACACAGTGGCTCACAGATCACAATATAATATAATAACAAAGAGTAAAATATATTTATATAAATGATAATAAATTCAAAATAAGTAGCAAAAAAAACAGCAGCAAGAGACAGGTGTCAAATAAGGCATAACTATATAAATGAACATGTGCAAGTAAAAATAAAATATACAAATACAATAATACAAATATATCTCAGCTGTATACAAGAGGTTATAAGGAGAAACTATACAGTACATTATAAATTATATATATGTTGTGTGTTTACCTGAATCCAGGTGGGTACATGCGCAGAGATTCACTTATAACCATGTCTAAATATTTCAACTCTGGAGCATTTGAGTAATCTTGAGACTCCTATAAAACAGAAATTAAGTTGAATTGTGTTGTTAGTATAAAATAAACACAAATGTAAAAAATGCTATATTACACAAAATGGATTCTTGTACGCTTTAAGACATGTTATAATGATGTTATCTCATCAAAAACAGACAAGGAGTTGTGTTTTGTTTCATTCACACATGTTTGAGTAACAATTTCTTATGAGTCTATTTACATCTCCATAGCTCAACATGCTCTGTTTCACTTTGTGATGTCATGTTTACTTCAGTAGATATTGGCAATTCCAGGGTTTAAAATCTAAACTATCCAAATGATTCTAGTGAAGGTGTATGGAGTTTAAAAAACACAGTGGAGTGTTTTCTCTTTGAGAGAAGAACTCAGTCTAAATGTGCAGAGTTTGTGTGTTAAACATGTGTGAATGAAACAAAACATAACTCCGGGTCTGTTTGTGATGAAGAAACATTATAACACAGATCAGAAAAAAGTATAATATGGACCGTTTAAACCTGATGTCTATACGTACGTCTATAAATGTTTGGACTCACATGTTGAGTGTAGAAGTGGTCTATCTCCTCTTGGAGCTTGTGCTGACACTCGGGGTGCAGAGCCAGCAGGTAACAGGTGAAGGCCAGTGTGCCACTGGTAGTTTCATATCCGGCCAAAAGGAAGACAAAAGCCTGACCTATGACCTCGTCCTCTGACATGGTCTTTCTCTGTGATCGCCTCTGTAACTGTTCCTGCAGTGACAGGCTCCTGTTGCTACGGATGTGACAATAACAGAAATATTGTGTTATCGTACAGTCAAAGGTCTCACAATAATGTTGAGGGTTGTCACCATATATAGATGATATATGATCTTTTTTTCCTTTTCAGTGCAGATGATATGAAGTGAACTTTTCTCAGTTCTTTGGAATATGATCGTATTGTAGCATTAAAGGCTTGTTATTAGGTTATTTTTTCAGACCAACACTTTGTTTTCATACCTGACAGTTTCACCTGCTCACTAGTGGTCTTCCTCAGCACATTATCCCAGGTGTGCAAGAGTAAAAAAGCCCCCTCGTCCGAGTTTATAAGAAGACAGCACCAAAACCTGTATAAATCAGCTGACTGGACACGTCACAGCAACATCATGTGACTCTGAGGAAGGCCACAAGTGAGCAGTCCAAACTGTCAAGTATGAAAATAAACTCTTGGTCTGAAAAAATAACCTAATAACAGAAATTATCGGGAGATCAAATGAATCTCATTAAGGCTTTTTAAAAGGGAAAAGTTGCATTTCTTCAATTCTGTTAGCATCTCTAAAATACAGCAATAAATATTGTACAGTGAGATTTGCTTTTATCGTTACATCCTTACCTGTTACTGTCTTTATTTAATGAAGCTGAGGTTTGAGGATCATCACTGTGGACTCCAGTGTCAAAGTGCTCCAAAGACACGCTCTCATCCCCCCTGCTGCGCGCATCCAACATCAGCTGAAGGAAATCTCTGCGTCTCTAATTTATGAAAGAAAATAAAAATGATTTTCATCATTGGTTGAGCGGTCAGATCCACTGACCCACAAGTTGGCGGTGTGAATCCAGCTCCCACAGATGAATGATGTCATTGTGTCATTGGCAGTGGAGAACCGTGGACCTGGACCCTGGGCCTTCACTCGGACCAACTACTGGCAATCATGACATTTTTTTGGGGGGGAGGGGGTGGTGCACATAGGCCAGAATTTATACATATATATATATGTATATATATGTATGTGTATATATATATATATATATAAAGGGGTGTCAAATTCTCGCGTTAATTGCGATTGATTAATTACAGTCATATTTAGCGCGTTATGTTTTTTTAATCACGTTAATCTAATTTTTAATCTCTAACTTTGCTGTTTCTGTATGCGAGTTGCTTTATTATAAAATCTGTTTTTATGTGTTGTTGGGACAACAACACACACACATACAAAAAAACACATTTATACATTTTTTAATTTCGGTAATTTCACTGATTGCCGGAAACCCCCACAAAACGCGCGCAGTAAGAGCGATGTAAACGTCATGTTAACGTTGGCGCCGTCAGTCGCACAATGGACGAGGTTGAAGAGCCAGTAGAACAGAGTCAGCAGTGCACAGGTAAAAACACATTTGTGTCTTGGAAATTATTCTCCCGACGTGAAATATAAAATTAAATAACAAATATAAAATCGCCTACAACTTAAATGTCACTGGTGAAAACAACCTTCATAGACTCATGATGTCTGCACTACTGTCCTATACACAAACACACACAAACACACACACAAACACACACCTTCATCATCGTCATTAACCTGAGAACGCAAGGACCACGTTTCCTTCCGTAGTTACTGCGCGGATACCGCTGTCCTCCTGTGCGCCGCGTACGTTTTCTCGCGGACGCGGCGTAAACCGCGCTTCCTCCTGTGCACCTCTAAACCAGAACTAACACCAAGACTAAAATCGGGACTAACCCAGTCCAGGACTAAACCAGGACTAAACCAGAACTAAAACCAGGTCTAAACCAGGTCTAAAGCAGGACTCAGCCAGAACTAAAACCAGGCCTAAACCAGGTCTAAACCAGGTCTAAACCAGGTCTAAACCAGGACTAAACCAGAACTAACACCAGAACTAAAACCAGGACTAACCCATTCCAGGACTAAGGTAGGACTAAACCAGGACTAAACCAGAACTAAAACCAGAACTAAAACCAGGTCTAACCCAGGACTAAACCAGAACTAAAACCAGGTCTAAACCAGGTCTAAAGCAGGACTCAACCAGGACTAAACCAGAACTAACACCAGGACTAAAACCAGGACTCTAACCCATTCCAGGACTAAACTAGGACTAAACTAGGACTAAAGCAGGTCTAAACCAGGACTAAAACCAGTGATCTCATATATAAAGCATTTCTCTATCAATAATATTTTTAATATGGTTAAGGAAAGACTGGACTTTTTATTGTCTTTAAGTAGACAAAAGTTTTATGTTCAGATTTCCTCGTCTTTGCTACTTTACAGCAAACAGTTTCTTATTCATGGAGACTTGGGCTCAACAGCCAATTTGGAGAGAACAAACAAGAACAACATGTGTGATGTGGTTGGTACATTCATGTAGTTTTAAAAAGCATGACAATATCAAGTAATCCAAAGTATTCAAATTACGTTACTCACTTTAAGTAATTAAATGGATTAAGTTACAAACTACATTTTGGGGTATGTAATCTGTAATCTGTAGGGGAATACATTTTAAAAGTAACCTTCCCAACACTGATTAGTAATAGTAATAATAATGATACTGTGGAATGCAAGTGACTGCATCTGTTAAAGTTTGTTAAACAATAAATTACTTTATAAAGTCACTTTTTTTTTTGGTTCTATATCAGTCTTTTGATCTGCCACAATAATGTAATAATAAATTTAAATGAAAATACCTCAAATTGAAGGCTTTTCTCACCAATTTTTAGGTGAGATTAAAAAGAGATTAATTAAAACCCATACACACACACACACACCTGTACAAACACACGCAATGCCATACACACTGCTAAATTTTATAAAGAAACAGGGATGGGATAGACAGGCTATATAAAACAGAACTTTAACAGACTTAGGAACACAGCACAAAGTTGTCTGCCTCAGGTCCCTAGCGGGCTGGGCCCTCTCTGCTGTCACCTGGGTGTTGGGTGTGGGGGTCCACCTACGGGTGCCCGGTTGCGTGCTCTCCCGTCCCCTCAGGGTCTCCCCTCTGTGCTGGCTTCACTCTCTGGGCTACCCCCAAGCTCCTTACCTCCCTGATACTTTTAATGCATCACACCCAACTTTTTTTTTAATGCATCACAAGTCAACCAGGGATGAATGTGGGTTCATGTGTGTGAATTGTGTGAGTATGTGTGTAGGCTTGTGTGTATGTGGATGTGCGTGCACATTCCTGTGCAGGCAGGTGCGTGCATGCATGTGTGCGTGTGAATGTATGCACATGTACATATATATCAGGGAGGGGGAGCAT